CTCAATATTTCTTCAGTTTCTTCTCCATTGACTATCTTTTATCATAAAGTTCTACATTCCTTGTATTTACATTTTTATCATCTGTTACAGGGCATAACGTGGTTGTATAAAAGCAACACAATTTTTGTGGATGTGATTTAACTTACATTAAATTGTTTTCTTGAGACTTAATGACAATTTTCCCCATGCCCACAGAAAATTTATAGTATTTAAAATTATTTGGTCATTTGTACTTTGTTTATTCTTCCGTTATGCCCCCTCCACCATACACATATGTATGTATAAATATGTGTGTGTGTGCGTATCTATATCTCTTATCTATCTGTCTGTCTCTTCTGATGACTTGTTTATACGTCTGTAAGGTCTAAACATTATCCAAAGATTAAAACCATATAAATCTAACACAGATTTCCTTGAAGGCTGGTTGTTCAGTTTCTGAACTCACTTTAATTTCTGTATTTCTTTGAAAGCAAACTTTAAGTATGCCTGTGCCATCAGTAATTCCGTTTTCTTTTCTATCTGCTCATGATCTTTCATTAACAGATTTCTAAGAATGGAAAGAAACACACATTATCCAGGAGCTCACATGAAATTCTGCCTTTCCTACCTCCTAGTAGTCTCAAGGCAGTGACTCAAAGGTTCAGTCCCACCATTCCCCAGAAATGCACAGAATGATGAACACTGTCAGAGGGGAGAATCAAAGGCTCCCATGGAGAGATTAAGCAAATCAGGCTGTGGCCTACAAGCAAATGTTTGGCAATCCCAAGTTTTTCTTCATGGCTCTGTGGTCAGTTCACTACTACGTAAGTCAGCTAAGCTAGAAGTATTAGTGTCCTTTCTGGTCAGTCTCTTTGTTGAAACAGTAAAAGCTCATTTTACTTCAGTGTGGTAAAGCAGGCTGACTTAGCTCCTCATAACTACACATATCAGGGTGGACAGAAAATGAAGGTTTGTCTGCCTCTAGCCACAGGGACAACTACCTTGGTAAAAGTTGGTGCCTCACACAGCCTTAAGACATGTTGTCATTCACCCTTCACTTGACTCCTGGACATTTGTACAATTGAAGATGGAACTCCTGCCACCTCCTTCAAAGATCCTTGTTGAGGGAGTAAATGAATCTCAGTGCTGGCAATAGCTGCTAAATTTAAAAATGATCCAGGGTCAACTAGTTGTATTGTGGTTAAGGCTTCTATGTCTGACATGATTGACTGAATGGTTCATGTCCCAAACTTGATGACTCGAAAAACACTTTAGATGTGTGTATGTGCATTTCCATAATTCCAACAGGTATGATCAATGGAGGAGAAGGAGAAGGGA